TATATTTAAATTTTACTTTATATACATAAGATCACAGCCAAGGAGGTTAACTATAATTTCCAATTTTAGCACCAGCTACTTTTGCTATTTTATTCACATTTGAAAATATTCACTCTTACTACTTTACTTCAAACAGTGACCTATAAATTTGTTTGGACAGTAATAATTAAGTGCCTTTTCTCTTTTTCAGGATAATAAAAAAATTAAATGACATATTGAAGATACTACTAGAGATATTTCACTTTTCAATTATGTCCTCTGCACTGAAGATCTATAGGAATTTTTCTAATTAATTTTCAAGTCTTCCCACAACTTCTCTGTTCAAAGAAATATCATCTTTGAAATAATCTGTGTGACTACTTCACAAATCAAAAACTGATTCATGAGACCTTATCACCCATAATCACTATTTTTAACAAGTCTCTGAAATATGTTCTGTATCAGTTTCTTGATAATGTCAATAATTTAGACATATTTTAAATATAACACAACATTTAATTGTATCAATCTTCTATCAACCCGCTAAAGTCATTTAATGATGATTATATTGGCCATTTCCACTGATTGGCAGGAGGCTCTTCCACTAACGGCTCCCATGGTTTCCACTGCATCATTTTTCTTGCCAGACTTAGTTCGTTTTCAGCCTGTTAATAAAAATTTTTAAAAAGATTGTTTTATTTTATTGTTTAACAGGTATTTATCAAAGCTAGTAACTGAAATCTAACTATTAGAGCTATTACTTTCATATTAATACCTCATGACCTATTCCACCATTAAATGTTGACTATTATATATTTAACTTACTTTAATCCCCACAGTTAGACAGTCATGAGTAAGAAAGGGTATCTTCTGATTTCTTCTAATTAGTGTTCAAAAGTTCAGTTGGTGAGTTTTTGATCTTAATTGTGTTTCATGTAAGTTTTTTGAGAATCAGAAGTATGTCTCTTCAACTATACCAGTGGCTTTCAAACTTTATTTTACTGCGGCTCACAGTAAAAAAATACACTTTACTATCGAATCCACACTACACATATATAACTAAAACTAAAAAAATTATCTTTACTAGCAGTGATACACTCTATTTTCTACTATATTTTTTAAATGTTAATCACTATCCACCAAACTGCTTAAGATCCAGAGTTTGTAAAACAGTCATCTGAGGAATGTAGAACACAACAGGTGTATGACAAATATTTACTGATTGAATTAATTCCTTAATCAGATTATGCTTCATTTAATTTTTCCTTTCAAACACAATTTAGAACATATTTAACAAATATAGGTAATTTTTTTTTTTTTAAGAGACAGAGCCTTGGCTCTATCACTCAGGCTGGAGTGCAGTGGAGCCAATCACAGTTCACTGTAACCTTGAACTTCTGTGCCCAATTGATCCTCCTGCCTCAGACTCCCAAGTGGTTTCTTATTTCATAGTAGTTCATAGGAGTTTCATAGTAGTTTCTTATTTCATTTCTACCACAAAAAAGACCTGTGACAACTCTAGCCAACTTAGAAGATGAATATTATTA